TTCTATGGAATTACTTTAAATCTTATTATATTTCAAATTCAAAGAATTTTTTATTATTAGAAAGCTTTCAAAAAAATTATAAAATCTAATATAATAATTAATAAATATTATTATTAATTTTGTTTAGCATATTTTGTTTTGATTTAATTTTAGTTTGATTTATCTTTGATTATGTATGGTTAAAGTAATTATAAAAAAGAACTTTTATGTCAAGTCTAATAAGCACTTAATATAAAATATAATTTAAGATTTAGTTTAAATTATTTATTATTATTTTATTTAAATTAATTTATTATATCTTTAATTTATATATTTTTATTATTATTAAAAAGTTTTTTAAAAAAATATAAACTATTATTTTACAATTTTGTTGAACAATTATTTTTTTATTTTATTGTATTTTTAAATCAAAAAATTTTTATTATTAAAAATTTTTCAATTGGTAATTAGAGAAATTAATATAATAAATTAATTTATTCATTTACTACTAATAAAATTAAAAATAAAAAATATTTTAAAATTTATTATTTTATTATTTTGAAAAACTCTTTAAAAAATCTCTTTATGCGGAAATTTAAACTACATTACATGATTAAATTTGAATAAAATAAATTTAATATGATTAAATAGTTTATCATTGATAAAAAATAATTTTATATTGAAAAATATTTAACTAAAAGATTATTTTTTTTCTAAAATTAAAATTAAAATTATAAAAATATTAAATTTTAAATCAAGATTAAATTCAGAACTCTTTTTCTCGTTATATTAATATGATTTTTCAAATTTTAAAATATAAAAATTAAAATCAAATTAATAGGTAGCTCCCCCCCCCCCCCCAAGATAAGGTAGTTTGAGTTTTAATAAAACAGTTTCAATTTTATACAACTTAAATTAGAGATATTTTTATGTCATCATTTTATTTCGTTCTTGTATTGCTATGTATTCTTAAAAATTGGAATATATATGAGAATAATAATTATAAGGGATGTTAAGTTTAAGTTTTAATAATTTTTCATTACGTAATGGAGAGAGAAATAAATAGTTAATTATCTCAATATTGAATTAATAGGCCTTTCTTTTTATCCTTGTGATATCATCTTAACGTAATTAAAATAAACTATGCATAGTTTTTTTCTTTAACAGATTAATTTGATAACTTTTGTGTAGGACATTTGTACGTCACTTCAATATTTTTAACATGAACATATTGAGCTTTTCTTTTTAATAATTTTTAATATGAATTGAACAAAAAAATTTAGTACACTAAGCTTAAATCTGATCAAACCTTGTATGGTTGGTTTAATAAACAATAAATTCTTATATGAACTCTCGGACTCAGATCGCCTGCAGTTCTGGTGAGAACTGTAGGCTGCAGTTTTGCTTTCGCTTAAGCAAATTTTGGTAAAAAGTGATTTTAGCTTAAACTAATTTTGTTTAAGCTAGAAAAATTTGCTTAAGCAAATTTAGAAAAAGTGGCAAAAAAAACTAGAAGAAAAAGAAGAGAGGAAGATCAAGGATGGGAGCAAGAGCACAAGGGAGAGAGCGGGAGAAGGCTAATAGAGGAAAGGAAAAAGGGTTAGATGAGGAGAGAAGGGGAGGGGGATGAGTAGGAGTGAAGGGAAGGGGAGAGAAGGAGAGTTAAGGAGAGTGGGTGGGCTGAAGGAATAAGAGATGGGAAAGGGGAGGAAAGAAAGTGACTGAGTGAGAGGGAAGGAGGAAGAGAGTGGCTGGATTAGAAGGAGAAGAGAAGAAAGGGAGCTGAAATAAAGGAGAGAAGAAAGCATTTTCTTCTTCTTGCGTATTTTTGTTTAAACGAATCTATATTCGCTTAAGCTACGCAAGAAGAAGAAGATGTTGCAGTGTATTCTCTAAATTCACTTAAGCAAATTTTTCTGGCTTAAGCGAAATTAGCTTAAGCGAATTTTTTTTAACTTAAGTCAAAATCACTTTTTACCAAAATTTGCTTAAGCGAAAAAATTTTGCTTAAACGAAAGCAAAACTGCAGCCGATCTGGGTCCGTAAAAACTCTAAGTATATAGAGTCTGTTTGCTTCATTTTTTAAAATCACTTTCAAAATTTTAGGGTGTGTATTTAAGTTTTTTAAAAAAATCAGAATCTAAAAAAAGTTTATTTCAAAATTTTGTTGATATTAAAAAATTAAATTATTAATATTTTTTAAAATAATGTGTTTATAATTAAAAACAAACAAAATATAATTTATACTTTTATAAAACATAAATAATATTCTACTAAATTTTTAAAATCACTGTTTTGAAAAGCTTAAACAAACTTGTGCATAAAGGTTTATGGATGGAGCCCTATTTGTCTTTATTGGATAATTAGTCGCTCTTCATATCTTAAATCAATAGGGTAGGATCGACAGTGTCATTTTTATATTACACAGTTTAGGTTCGATCAATTATAAGTGGGACATTTTCATCCTCTTCTTTGTTTATTTTGTAGATGTAAATTACAAAAAAATAAAAAACTTAAATATAGTTTGAAGTTATTCTATAAAATTTCAATTTTATTTTTTTATAATTTTAATCTTTATATTTATACAATTTAGATATTTTTATTTTTTCATTAACATAATTAACCCCATAAATAATTAACATATAAAAACCTCTTTGTTTGACATCATCATTTAGTGGTCATATATAGACCCAAAATATTATTCTAAGAAAATTAAGAACTACAAAAATTATATTTTAAAATTATACCTAAAAACTTATAGAAAACGTAAGAATAAAAAGTAAATTTAAGATTTTTAAAAAACACACTAATATGTAAAATACAACACTTAATATTTTTTATATTCAACTTATTCGATTTAAATTTTGAAAAAGTAAATTAAATTTATAAAATTTGAAAGCTGATCAATACTTCATGCCACGTGCTTTAATATACCATATACAATTTTTTTTGTTACAATACCATATACAAATTAAAATATCAGTAAACATCTACAATTACATCATATAATTATAAAAATTAAATCATTTAATTTTATATATAACCATTATAATAAATAAAATTTTAAATATTAAATTGATAAATTTTTATTTTATAAAAAATGATAAAAGATTTAATAAAGTTCGATACTGTAGAGTTCAAATCTTGACTATGTTATTAAACTTTTTAAAATATAAAAAATATTTTCGCATAAAAGTTTTGTTTTTTCCTTTGTTTGTAGCGTTTTGTTTTAAATATTAGTTTTCCCAGAAAACGCTTATTTTATCGGGTAAAAGTCATGAAAGAGGCATAAATGAAAAGAATTTAGACTGTAAAAATGAAAATGTGGGAAATTGAATTAAATTAATGGTAATTGTAATTTAATTTTCATTCCTATACTCTGAACAAATTAGTTAAATAAAATAAGATAAAGTCTTGTATTTAATAACCTTTAAGTCTCTAATTTTGTAAAAGGGAGTTAAATATAAGTATTATGTGAGTGTTTATATTTTTATCAATTCAAAACCTTTTTTTTTATACCTTCAACTTGAACAATAATATTTCTTTTCTCTCAAATTTTGTGAAAGAAAAATCAATTTTACACAATGGTGATAAAAAAAAATATTCAATAGTTTTTACAACCTGGTTCTAATAATTTTTAAATAAAAAAATATTTTTTTATATTTTGAAAATATGAAATGTATTTAATAGTATCTAAAGAATTATCCTCAAAAAAAATGCAAAAGAGGAATATAGCAAAACCAATGTGATAAAAATAAATCTTACAAAATATGTTTGCTTTTTATTTGGCTCAATTGTAATATTTATTTTTATACTTTAATTTATGTGTAATTTTGGTTTCCTTAATTTTAGGTGCTCACATGTAATAATTTATTTAATTTTTTAAATATATGATTTTGGTCTTTCTAATGTTATTTGCTTATATTTAGTCCTTTAATTATTTTAAATATGTAATTTTGTCTTGTTAGTTTTAATTGTTCATATTTATTTTTCTAATTTTTTAATTGTACAATTTTTATTTTTTATTTTAATTGTTAATATTTAGTTTCATTAATTTTTAAAATATTTAAATTAAGTCCTCTATTTTAAAAATTTATCTAATAATTAATAAAAATATAATAAATGACTTATTTTTACATTTTAAAAAACTAAAAAGATTAAATATAAACAATTAAAATCAAAAGATTAAAATTACATATTAAAAAAATTAAGCAATTAAAATAAAAGAAACAAAAATCACATCTTCTAAAAACTAGAGATTAAATATAAATAATTAAAACTAAAGAATAAAATTATACATTTAAAAATTAAAGGAAGTAAAAAGAAATTGCACATACATTCAGGTGGAAGGATTAAAAGTGGATTTTTTGTATTTATGGAAATTGATGAGCCATCCTATTCTAATATGTTTATGTTAGTGATGGCACTTCAACTGTACCTCAGTTTTTTTTTTTTTTTTTTTTTGAACACGTACTTCAGACAGTCAAGACCGCGTGTGGAGGCGATGGAAGTTTCTGGGTTCTTTCGACCAAAACAAAAGGAGCAACTTTATTATTGGTTACTTATTACAAGAACATGAAAATTAAGTGTTTGTTTAAGTTATTTTATGAAATAAATAAATTAATGAATTTTTTTATAAAAAATATAATTTTTAATATACTAATTTAGTTTAATTAATTCACTTAAAACAATATTATTTATTTCATGGGACAATTTAAATAACCACAAAAACTAACAGATGAGCATTTAAAAAGAAAAACAGTTGTGACAGGAATCACATAGCTACTTCACTTCCAGACACTTCTTTTCGAAACCTTAAATTCTAATCCACCTAGTCCTTACAAAAGCAAGCTTCGCAAAGACTTGGGTCACTTTCAAGATCTTGTTCATGGAAACAAATGGGAAATTTGTGTGCACCTCACTGTTCCAATTCTAATGAAGAAAGCAATGTCTTTCTCTTTTTTTCTCAGAAAACAACAAAAATAATGAGTGTCCTAATAACGCTGGCTAACAAAGGAAACTTCTCACTTATTTCCTGCTTCCCACCCTTTCAATTTCAAACCCAACACCGTTAATAACTCACAAGGACTTAACACGCGGCATATCCCAAACAACAACACAAAAGTGAAATCACCATACTTTGTACTAAACCAGCCATTTTTTTTTACTTTGTTTTTCTGTTATTTTACATGGCTTCCAATCAAGAAATGAACCTCCCTTTGAGGCTTTTGGTGGACAAAGAAAAAAACCGTGTGGTTGTGGGTGAAGCAAGTGGAGACTTAGTAGACATTTTATTCAGTTTTCTCACCCTTCCCTTGGGAACAATCATAAGGCTTGTGTCAAAGAAGAAGCAAGTGCAATTGCATGATGAAGCAGAAGAGATTGGTTGCATCAACAATCTCTACCAAAGTGTGCAAGATTTTGGTGATGGGGTGTTCTGGAACCATATTTGCAAGAGAATGTTGCTGTGTCCACGCAACCCTTGTGAAGCACTTTGCCAAAAGCTGAAGCTGAAAGTGGATGATACGGAACCCATGAAGTACTTTATGTGTAGCAAGGGGTGTAGAAGGGGTGGTGATTGGTTCTTGAGTACTTTTGCCGAGGCTAGTTGCTCTTGTGGGAAATTGATGGACAAAGAAATGAAGTTGCATGGAGATTCAAGCGAAAAGACTCATGAGAATGGTGTTTTTGTTAAGGGGGAAACCATGTACTTGATATTTGATGATTTGAAGGTGTTACAAAGCTCTCCTGGTAATTCTGTTCAGCAACTTGTCCAACTTGGCTACAAGAACTTCCACAATCTTAAGGAAATGTCCCTGAATGTTGGCCTAAAGGAGGTAACATAAATTGCTTTTACTTCATTTATCATTGTTGTTGTAGACTAGCTCGTTAAAGTAAAATTTTGCTTATAATTTGATAGGTGCAAGTTAATTTGATCATACTCCAATGTAGTGGGTTGAAGTCGGCATTTTGTGAGAGAAAGTTCATGTTTTACATGATATCATTTGCATTTCTCTCATATATGTTTGTGTGTTGAAGCTGATAATCTTCTTTAAGCTCCTGAACTAGCTTGTAAATTTGTGTATGGGATAGATCTGCAAAACAAGTATTATAAAGTACTATCAATATTATTACTCTACATTATACCTTGCAAAAGTACACTGCACGTTTTAGAGGAGTCTAAATACGTGTAAATTTCCTTACGTTATGAATATTGTGCTTATACCTCTGTTTTTGCTTTATAGATTTTGGAGTTACTAAAGCACGCATTAACCTCCAAATCTCCGCTCAGTGATGTATTCTTGGGAAATGGAGAGTCTAAGAGGATGTGCATTTTTAAACCAAAACTTAGACCACATAATCAACGTGGGGTAATTTATCCTTTTGATATAAACCTTAAGGTAACAATGAGAAAATCAAAGAAAAAGATACTCTATGCTGAAGCTGAGGGAGATTTTGTTGATTTTCTATTCAGCTTCCTCACAACACCTCTTGGATCTATTCTAAGGCTATTGCATGGCAACTTTTTCTTGGGATGTATGAATAACTTGTACATAAGTGTGACGGATCTCAATCCATCATGGCTTACAAGGCCTTCAAGCACTCCTTTATTGAATCTAAGGGTGGCTCCTCAATTTGGTTGTAGGAGGCACCCAACACAACTTTGTGAAGGAGACACTCCTTGTTACTGGTATGGTACAGGAATAATTAAAAATAATATTTGCTATGCCATTGGAAATGGAGTGATTTCAAAGGAACAAAGTCTGATACAACGTGCAGCAGCCATGAAACTTTTTGACCCAAGATCCCCTGATGGCACAAGAGAATCTGCTGTGGGCTTTGTGAAGAGGCCATCACTGTTTGTTGTATGGGATGATCTTCAAGTGACCCCATTGGCAAACACTTCTAGCATTTCATTTCTGCAAAAGCTGAATGCTCCATTGGATGATTTGGAGGAGCATGAAGTGAGAATTGGAGAAACAGAGGTAAGGATCCACTCTTTACTAGTTTTATCTTATGCAATGAGTAATAAATTAGTCCCTAAAATTATGAGTTTCAACTAATTTGATCCTTGAGATTATCAAAATAATGCTAATTTTAGGCCTTGAAGTTATAAAGTGACAGTCACTTTGGTTCTTAAATTTACAAAAATAAAAGTTAAAATGACCTATGTTTAAAAATTTCAGAAACTAAAATAGTGTTTTTATAATTTTGAAGACTAAATTTTATAGTACTTATAATTTTTGGGACTAATTTAGTATTACTCTTATAAACTTTCTTGATAATTAAAAAATTTAATTATTATTTCTGATTTTACTGAGAGAATTTCTGTTTAATGATTGACTTTGAAGAAGATACTTTAAATTTTCCCCTCTAATATATCAGAAGCAATGACTTCCATCATCTATGCATGATTAGGCACTAAACCTATTGGGAACTTCTTTGACTTCCAAAGCTGCTTTGACAGAAGCCCTATTATACCTCCTGAAGAACACAAAGGAAGAAGCTATGGCTTGAACTCTTTCCAGTTGTTGATAAGAAGCTGAATAATAGAGGAACCGTGCAAATATTTTGACTACTGAAGTATGTTCCAAAAGCCAAGGATATTATATTACATTTGAGTGCATTGGATGGTGATGTGAATTTTACACTCCTATGCTCTAAGAAATTATCTGTTAGTGAACTCTGCAACTGCTATATGCTATTGTGATAGACAATCTTGACATGAATATTGATCATAAGATAAATGAAGATTACTGGTTAAAGAGTTCATAGAATATCATGTGTTACCGTTTGGAACTTGGGATTAAAAATAGTTTTTTCTTGCGAACATGCTCCTGTGGGAGCGAGTAAAGAAAAATATTTCATAAATTATTTGGTTAAAAATCATATTCCAACTTTTATGCAATGAACAATAATAATACTACAATTATACTTGACATGGATTTGCTTTTGAGAAAGTATTGCTGTATGACAAAAAATAAATAATCTGATATAAGGAATTCGCTCCAGTGGAGTGCAAATTAAGAAACAATTTTAGAATAATTTGTCAAGATTGGTTGCATATAAGCATATTATAAATCAAGATAAGCGGAATTCTAATGTATTATACGCTTGTTTTACATTTTTTCCAACACCACTAAGATCGAGTGTTCAAGGAAGCAAGACGATTTTTCCTTCTGACTAGCTAGTCTCTGATATATTGATGTGTATTTTTAATATCTAAATAAAACTTATTAAAAAAGAAAATTAAAAAATAATAGTTATTTGTTTTAATAAATAAGAATAAATTAAGGTTATTGCTAAGACACCTACTAAGTTTGAAGGGTTTTATTAACCTTCATTACATTGCTTAAAAAAAAATTAAACATGTGTATTAAGATTTATCATGTAATTAATGATATATTTTTTGAGACATGATGAAACAATCTTTTCTTTTAATTTTTGTAATTGAAAAAATAATTATACAAGATTCATTTCAAAATATATTGAAATCTAATGTTAAATGTGATAATTATATTTTAACCCTTAATTAGAAGTAAAAAAGTAATCATATGTTTAATTTATAATTTTTATCTTCTCACATATAAATTATTTTATCTAATTTAAGTAGAATGTCCTTTTATGAAGAATACATTTAAATTAAAGAAAAAAAAAACGTTTGTTATAATACTTTTAGGAATAATAATTTATTTAAATAAAAAATATAAACGTAGTTATAAAAAAAAATGACATGAAATAATCACACGGCAAATACAGCCTCCAAAAATTCCTCATTCAAGTTGTTCCCTTTCTATTTACGGAAGTTTCGTGAAGCACTCTGTTCGTGTGGGTCATTTTTTCTGTGCAAGAAAATGAGTCATTGTTTCTGGTCTTTGATGATTTGAATATTATGCCTATGTTGTATCATGATTAATCTAAATTTTTATTAGTTTTACATTGATTATGGTATAGTGTAAAAAGTTATATTTTAAATAGGTTAAAATTATTAAGAACAAATTTAAAGTACAATGAGTACTTTAACTCGTTATAACTTTAAAGGTAATTAATAATATATGTCAAATGATTAGTAATATAATTCACATATACTATCAATCTTCCCAAAAGCTTTATTACAAGCCATTTTCAAGATGTCTCAAGCATTTGGCCTAAGCTTTGATCCCTACATAAAATTATTTTTTATAACTTTAAATCGAGCATATAACTTGGAGTTGGTGTCGTGCTTCTTCCTCCTCACCTTGTGAAGTGTACTCTTAACTTTAATTCTTTTATGCACTGTCGCCTCAACAATAACATTGGATTGAAAGGAATCTAGTTCTTGACTCAATATGTGATTAGTCTCGTTTGACCCATGAGAAGGCCCAATAATTAGGTCATTAGATTTGCCAGTAAACTCTTTTTGTGCCACATCTTTGCCTTGTGTTGGTTCCTTATAAATAACACTCAGTTGTCATAATCTTTCATATGCTCCCATGTCCCACTAATTTCCTTCCTTATAAATTTCGACCAACAAAGGTCCACTTCGGTCAGCCTCCTTTTCAAATGCATCCTTATTCAATCGTACAATATCTACATTATTATTGAAAATGAAGTCATTATTGATATTCATTTCATAATTTGAATTCTCTCTCATTCGCGCATTTGCTACGTTCTCTATCGAATTTAATTTCGTACTTTCCAGATATTGTGCAATGTCTGACACATAATCATGTAAATTTTATCCTTATAATTCACCTCTTGTTCCACCTCCTCCATGCTTTCCACATCACCTTTGGTTATTGTTTTTTTTTTTTTGTTGCATTTTCTGCTGTTAGATCACAACCCTTCTCATCATCATCTAAACTTTCATTCTCCAAAGCGTCCAAATCTAATGAAGTATCATCGACCATCCTGATTAAGAATATGAAATCATTAACATAATCCTTAGATCTTCATTAATTAGCAAATGTGTTTAAGTTAAAGTAGAGTTGATTTAGATTTTTTTTTTATTGGTGTGTAGCTTTCTACTTTATAACCAAACTTTGATTGATATAGATACACATACATATATAGAATAGAAACATATAACATGCATTTATATCCAAACAAGTGCAAAATATTATGAACTTGACTAAAATAAAATATAAATTTCAATTGTAACTATATCTTATACAAAGTATAGTTTAAAACTAAACCAAGAAAAAATACAACTATTATACTCAAGATGTGCCAAAACTATTTAAGAATGAATAATATTTATAAGAAACTTTGTCCAACATCTTCGAATGTCATAAATTACTTCTTCTAGTAACCAATCAACATCTTTAAATATCTACAAATTCAAATTACAAAAAAAATAACTTATGTGATAATAATAGAAGTAAAACTTAATATATATTTTAAATAAATATAGACTAAACTCTCATTTTCACTACTAGAAACCTGCAAATATAGATAAATTTATGGACAAATTTTTTAATTATCACAAACGAAATTTAGCATTATAGACAAATTTACAGACGGTTTCAGTTCGTCTGTAATATGCATGTCGGTAAATAATTACAGACAAATTTTTGAATCCATCTGTAAGTTATAGACAGAAAAAATTGTTTGTAATTCATTTGTGAAATTTCAATTTTTTTCTTTTTTTATAAACATAATTATTTTTCATTATTTCTAATTATCAAAAATTATAAACATAATAAAAACTACAAAATTATATATTTAAATTAGAAATTACTTATAAAATGTAAAATTAAAATGTCATCACAAATGAAGAAGTAAACATCTTAATAAATAATGTCAAAAATAAAATGGCATTGTATATCACTAATAATCGGTGTGATCATCTTCTGAAAAAGTATTATCAGTAGAGGAAGAGTCAGAGAGAAATGATGCATAGAGCTGTAGATTGATGGTATTGGAGCTGGTGGAGGAGGAAGAAATGTGAAACTACTTGCTCTCATAAGCTCAAAGTATGCATGCATCTGCATATGCTGCTATTGCACCTCCCTCTACATTCTCGATGTCACTTTCTTCTCTATCTTCTTCTCCATTTTCTTCATCTACTTCTTCTTCCATGCACTTTCCTTGGTCTTCTACATCTCCTTATTTTGCTTTTGCAGTTCTTCATTGAGAGCATGGACCTAAGTACGGACTGTGTCCTCTACTTTCTCAGGTGCAAGAGAAGGGGCATCTCTAGTGACAGATGCAGGGGACATGGAGTCTGCAAAACGACTCCCCATGCCATAAATGCGGCCTTCATAAAGGCCACCCACCGTCTCTGACCATATAGTATCCTCATCAACTGACCTTGGATTTTGAGAAAATATCTCCTCGAGCCTTTGAACATAGTCTCCAACAGTTCAAAGCAAATAATTATATATTAGTCTCAAGAACTATTTAACAAATCATTAATAATAATATATAGTGTCAATTATGATGACTTACATACGTGGCCTGAAATCATGCGTCAACCCATAAGGTTTTGTCTCCCTTATAAGTATGTGTCTCCTTAAACAACTCTTCATGTGTAGATGGTCTCTTTAATGACTTTTTTTGAAATTTCAATTAAATCGCCATCTCAAATTTCAATTATAGATTGAATAAAATAATTTTAAAAGAAAATTGAAAATCACATACTAAGTTCGCCTTAGTGCCAGCTAAAGTCGTAAAGCCATCAGTATGCAATAATCCTCCTTTTAAGGATACCTTGTTTGTCTTATTCTTTACAGAGAGATTTTTAAACTCATTCGTACCCTAATACTCTTGCAAGACATAAAGGAAGTTGGGTGTTATCCAATTAGCAGATAATGGATCCTAACGGGTCTCAGTGTTCGCTTTGCAGTGCGGCTCTTACAGGCCTTGAAAATTATCTTTTCATCTTCAGGGAAAATTGAGAAGTTGCTCTACATAAATACAATTTCATTAGAAGAGATACAAGAAACAATATCTAATTACACTTAGCTGAAATTAATTAACTATTACTACCTTCTAATCTTTGAACTATTTCATCTTTGTATCTTTAGGCACCTTTGCAAAACTTATGTAAGGCGCATCAAACATCTTCTTAATGGTATATGTCATCTGGTGGAGACCTTTTTGTGGTGAAATCCAACTTAACATACAATAAAATAATACAACTATTATAACATTCACATCAAATAAAGTTATTTATTCATATTTTATATTTAACTTGCCAAGTAGACCCATCCCATCTTAAAGTTGGATATATGAATATTGCCTTATATTTATTTACACTTAATACAACAAATTTCTAATGTAAATTTTGGCAAAATCTCCCCTAATATATGAATATTTCCTTATATTTGTTTACACTTAATACAACAAATTTTTAATAAAAATTTTAGCAAAATCTTTCCTAATATATGAATATTTCCTAACATTTATTTACACTTAATACAACAATTTTTTAATGTAAATTTTGGCAGAATCTCTCTTAATATATGAATATTTTCTTACATTTGTTTACACGTACTTAATACAAAAATCTAAATTTTCTTTACACATAATCTATATATTATATCACAATCTATTATTAATCAATGCATCAAAAATATTCACATAACAATCCTAAACCATTTTAGAGCACATCCATTTATAACTCCACAATATGCATATTCTACAATCTCTATAAGCACAAACAACCCCACAGCACACAATAATCAGGTTCGGGGAAGGACCTCTATGTTCATTCTCTCAGTTATACAATCTCCAGTCCTACAACTCTATCTTAGAAATTTTAAGTCTTTATTACACATAAAAAATTAAA